ATTATTGCCACAACAGTGAGAGGACCCAGGTCATAGTAGCTGTTGGCAGTGCATGCTGCAGGATATTGGTGTTGTTTGTGGTGTTTTTCCTCAGCTGCTGTGCATTTTAATCTTCGTATTTATGGCACCATTGCTATTGTTCATCACCCAGTCATTTGTTGAGATGGGTGGCTATACAAGTTGATCAGATAAATAAATAACTACATTCGTATTAGGTATGAGTGTGAGCCCTAGGAAACAAGGCATGTAGCCCATGATATCTGGCGCATTAAAGCAGGATAAGGGAGGGAGGGGGGAAGGGATGGAAGGAAGGAACGGAGGGAAGGAAGGAAAGAGGGTGGAAGGAAGAGAGGGAGGAGGGAAGGAAGAGAGGAACAGGTAGGGAGGGAGGAAAGGAAGGAAGAAAAGGGAGGGTGGAAGAAGAGATGAAGGCAGAAATGGAGGGAAGGAATGGAGGGAGGGATGTAAAGAGGGTGGAAGGAAGAGAGGGAAGGAGGAGGGAAGGAGGAGGGAAGGAAGAGGAAGGAAGAGAAGAACAGGGAGGGAGGAAAGGAAAGAAGAAAAGGGAGGGTGGAAGAAGAGATGAAGGCAGAAAGGGAGGGAAAGAATGGAGGGAGGGAAGTAAAGAGGGTGGAAGGAAGAGAGGGAAGGAGGAGAGAAGGAAGAGGAAGGAAGAAAGGAACAGGGGGGAGGAAAGGAAAGAAGAAAAGGAAGGATGGAAGAAGAGATGAAGGCAGAAGGGGAAGGGAGGGAGGGAAAAAGGAACGGAGGGAGAGAGGAAAGGAGGGAAGGCTAGTTCAAACATGGTTTTATGAATGGGCAATTAACCTTGCCATGCCCATTGTGTGGTAGAGAGATCCGTTGTGGAGAGAACCAGCTCTGAACGTTTGTTAGTGCAACCTTTTAAAAGAAAGTCGACCAACAGTCAGCATAACTTCAGTTTATTCATACAACATTTATACCTGTGCAAAATACCATTTTAAAATTCCTCTTAGCTTATCCTCCCAACCAACGTGTCTGGACCAGTTCTCATTTGACAAGTAAAAGAATCAGCGGAGCGAGCAAGAAAAAGGGAGCGGGTGGCTATTAAAAGGGGAAAAAAAGGAAAAATTCACAGTGTCCCTGATCAAGAAGAGTTGCGTGAACGTGGTTTGCCATAAATCTCCACAGTACTGGACGAGACACTCTTTGATAACGTGGTTCACCTCTCCGGTTACAGATTTATTTATTTATTGCCTTTCGTAAGGTAGCCAAGGAATGAGTTTTCAAGAAAGGAAGGCTTTAAATCGTTTTATGTTTTATCTTTATGCTTTAGATCAAGGGTGTCAAGCTCAATTTCATTGAGGGCTGCATCAGGGTTGTGCTTGACCTCAGGGCGGGGTGGAGGAGCTGGGGTGGGTGTGGCCAGGGTGGGCGTGGCCAGCTCGACATCATTCCTGTTGGGGGCGTCTGTGGTGGACTGAGCGTCTGCCAGTGAAAACAGGCTCTTGAGCTCCATTTTTGGCTGCCACGGCCTCCTGCAACCCTCTACCAGAGGGTTGCAGGAGGCCATGTAGGCTGAAAATGGAGCTCAGGAGCTCATTTTTGCTGGCAGAAGCACCACGGGCCGGTCCTTCGATGTTTACAGGCAGCCCCATGGGCCAGATCTACTGTATTTTTTAGAGTATAAGATGCTTATAAGTATAAGACGAACCTAGTTTTTGGGAAAGAAAACAAGGGGGAAAAAATCTGCTTCTGTCTCCCAGCAATTTGCCTCCTTGCAAAAAACAGCAAACAGTACAGACAATATACACTTTCGTGTTACATTTCAGACTATACTTGTATAGATGCTGTTAAAATTGATGTGGCTTTCTGGAGGTACAGTTATTCTCTGCTATTTAAAAGAAGATACAATAGCACTGGGCCTCTTCA